GTCAGAATACTGAAGGAAATATTTACTCCTACACGTTGTTTCCATTGGTTACCTGTCAATGAGGACATATCCCAGATGTGAACATGAGCATGGAGATAAATGTTTATATCACTTTAACAGGTATGATATATTCACTGATGTGCTTACATATTTTTAACTTTTAGTCTATCAACAACAGTGATTGGGTTGTGAGGTTTTATTTAATATTGAATAAGTTTATAATGATATTCTTGCCAGGCTTTCACATCTTAGCAAAACATTAGTTTTTACATTAAGAAACTGTATGTAATCATGGAAATAGCTAGTTATTATTGCTAGGGGCTTGTAGAAACAGTACCATAGTCTTGTACAGTGTGAGGAACAAGATTTAGATGTGGGTTGTACATCAGAAATTGATGCTGTTATTAGGTCATTGTTTTAACTCATTAATTTAACCACTTTTTGCTGACAGGTTGTGGCACACTACATATGATTATATCAGACTCATGTATAAATCTGCATATTCCCCTTTACAACTATAATTTTTCAACAAAGTTCTGTATGTTGACAATATGTGGTAGAAGAAGCAGCAGTAGTATTGTTTTCTATAATTGGCCTGTATGTGACTGAATGCACAGAATATTGTCAACTGCAAGTGTGATATAGCTGACTGACTCCAGCCACTTTCTTCCACTGTTAGTGTTCTTTGACTGGAACATGACTGTTTCTGATGACATAGAATCACTGGGGCCGCATCTCTGGTCATCTAGTGTGTAACTGCCTACTGAGAGCTTAATATATTTGAAATGTGCTGTGATAGAAGTCTTCTATATTCAAACTGGTTGTTGGTCACAGTGTATGTGTTCCCTCCCGTCTAGGAGTAGAGCCAGATTCTAGCCTATTTTGGAGAATTAATCTTTATCTGACGGTCATGTTAGAATTCATATTTACCAAATGTTCTATTGTCAACAGGCCAGGAAATAAAATTCCACTGTTTTGAATTTGAACTGATGAAATATTTTAAGAATTTGTTATCTGATTTTGCATTTTCCTATGTCATCTGGATAATAGCACCTGCATTGTTGTTTCAGAATGTTGGTGAGAGCTCCCTCCTGAGTAAATCCAGGTTTACAATCGTTGAATTACCAGGACTTGAGAAACTAGGCGAGGATCCATCTCACATCCGACTCCGAGAGGGTCCTACCCTCAGCAAGGCTCTGTTGTCTTTACACCAAGTGACAACATCCCTTGCATCCAACCCTTTCCCAGACAGAGTCATCAGTTATAGGTATGTCCTGTCACAGTTCTAGGGTAGATGTCAATCTATAATCTATCTCTGTCAGACTACATCACTTGTATTTCCCCCTTTCCCAGACAGAGTCATCAGTTATAGGTATGTCCTGTCACAGTTCTAGGGTAGATGTCAATCTATAATCTATCTCTGTCAGACTACATCACTTGTATTTCCCCCTTTCCCAGACAGAGTCATCAGTTATAGGTATGTCCTGTCACAGTTCTAGGGTAGATGTCAATCTATAATCTATCTCTGTCAGACTACATCACTTGTATTTCCCCCTTTCCCAGACAGAGTCATCAGTCTTAGGTATGTCCTGGTACAGTTCTAGGGTAGATGTCAATCTATAATCTATCTCTGTCAGACTACATCACTTGTATTCCCCCCTTTCCCAGACAGAGTCATCAGTTATAGGTATGTCCTGTCACAGTTCTAGGGTAGATGTCAATCTATAATCTATCTCTGTCAGACTACATCACTTGTATTCCCCCCTTTCCCAGACAGAGTCATCAGTTAGCAGGCTGACATACTGTATGTTTCAGTAAGGTACACTCTGGTTGTATGTTGTATTGCTCATTTTGTCGGTATTTCAGCGAGTCAAAGCTCACCCAGCTACTGAGAGAGGAGCTTGGCGGGAACTGTAAGACCCGAGCTTTGGTTTGTCTCAAGCCAGTCACCACACCAGAGACGCTCACTGCTGTCATCAAGTTCATTACCAACCTTTCACAGATAAAGAACTTCCCCATACTCAACGACAACTTTGCACAGGTAATATTGAATGAGCAAGTAAACTCAACAGGGCAACACTGCACAGATATCATAAACTAACTGGCATGAAAATATGTTTGATTGTCGATTAAATATCAGAAGATGATAAAGTCAAGTCATTATTGATGACAGGTTATATTGTATTGCAGAGCCTTCAGACCCAGTACCGAGCGAGAATCATCGACATGGAGACCCAGGTTGGGATGGGGCCCAACACCATGATGGCCCAGTCTGTTGGGGCACATCTTGGAGATGCTAAGGATGAAGTCAGGAGGCTGCAGTCAGAAAATGTGAGAGTACTCAGAATACTGTGGATACTTCTAATAGTAACGCCCACAATATAAAACAAATGAAGGAAAGCAGCAAGACAAACATGCCTCTTTCTATCAGCATGCTACTTTAGCTGCTTGTCTTAAACCTAGTAAATAGAGATTATTAACCGAGTGTGTTTCTGTAGCATTAATATCATATATTAGGAATAAAAATTGTATTATGCTAGCCTTTGTTTCTACAAGCCCCTAGCAATAATAACTAGCTAGCCTTTGGCAAGCATAATACAATTTTTATTCCTAATATATGATATTAATGATATGGAAACACACAAGGTTAATAATCTCTTTATCATATGATGTCATTCTTAAAATTACTCTTAAACAAGAAGCAAATCGTTCTTGAATTTATATGAATAGAATCGAGCATTCGCGTAAGAATACTTAGCGGTACACCAAGGTGAAGGTCATTCATGGCGGCGGCATATGGTTGTGACTAGTCACTAATATAGTGCAAACATAACTCATGCTTAAAATAAGATCTTTCTGTCTAAAAAGAACAAAAAAATTGGGCAGGGTTTCCCTGGCAGTGTTTCTATTTTCATTGCGGGTAATCACTTATCAATATCAGTTTCGGATACCTGACAGAAACGATTCGTTGTCTGAATTGTGATCTATAGATCAAAATCCTTGGTTGGTACCTTTCTTAGACAATTGCCTTTTAGTCGTGCCTCATAATCCATACCTTCAATTTGAACGAAGTAATCCGTTCATGTTTTCCAAAGTCAATTACTGCAGTAACGACTCCAGAACCTCTGTTATCAATTCTTACAGATTCACCAATTTTGAGAATGGGGGCAGCCATGTTTGTTTACAAACAATGTAAACTCGCGACGACGTCATCAATGAAATGTTAAACGTTTTAGGATTCGCATGGCATGTATGGAGTTTTGTGAAAGTAGTTCATGGATTGACGTAATTTGCATAGTTATCAGATTTGGATACCAAGTTTATCAGATTGCTTTATTGCACCGATAACATCCTCCATTAGATGAAAAAATTGTTTATGGTCTTGTAATCTCATCTAAAACTTGTCAACATAATAACCCTAAATTCTTGTGAAAATGATGCTTAGTTCCAAGTTTGAACTACCATGTTTATGGGATGATGGTAATACTGAGAAGCTGCTAGTTCATCTACCCACGTAAATATTTGAGTTATTTGCCTTTAAGCCTAGTCTGCCCTAGTGTTTGTAAAACGAAATAGAGTATGAAAGTTTTCTGTATGTTTGTTTTCTCATTCTGATTCTCAAATGTCATGTCATATCCCCTTTCTGTGGTGTAGATGTTTATATTACCTGCTTCCTTCTCTTCTTTTTCCACAGCTTGTCTTGAAGGACCAGAATGACCGACTAGCCATGCGCCTGGACCAGATGACAGCCAAGTTCAATGCCTTGGCCAACACAAAGACAGACTTGTCCAAGCAGCTACTCATGAGCGAGGAGGAAAAACTCAAGGTAGGTAACTCTTGCACCTTTGGTTACCTGGTAATCCCATACAAGATCTGCAGAGCAATACATGTGTGATGTTTTTCATCACAATCATGCAATGTTGTTCTGTTGGGACTTCAGTCTTATGGAAACATTATTTGATACTCTTTTCAGAAATGGTAACATGTATGTGTGAGTCATTATCAAGCACTGTGTGTATTATCCAGCATATAGGTCGTGTGTATATATACAAAGTGCCGTTGATGTTGTAGCTTGTACGTCCCTACAGGTGTCCCAGTCCTTGGTGGAGATGCAGATAGAAAACAACAAAGTTCGGGAAGACACAGAGGCCAGCAGATTTGAACTGACCAATAAGGTAGGTAAAACTGTTGGTGGATGAAGTAACCCAGAACATTTTGACATCGAGCAAAAACCAGAAACTGTTGGTTTTCAAGTAACAGCTTTTGAAAGTTTAGGTTGAGCCAGCACACATTATATGTACTTAGTGAAAAGAGGCTAATTCTCTGGTGCCTGAGAACCAAGAATAGTTTCAGCATTTGTAGATCTTTCAGTACATTATTGTGACTAGTTCAAGACAGCCAGCCATTTCTCTCCTACTGGGTGCAAACAGACTGTCTTGGTTGCCTCCCTTAAGGTATATCAGCATTAAGCTTCACATATTTTAAAGAAATGTTTCAGATCATGACGATACAACTATGAACATTTGAATCTGCATTTGTAGAAGAAATATGCCTTGCACCCAAGTTCTATTTACAATAGTCCTGTGTCATGTACTGTAGATCATAAACCTGGAGAACCAGCTGATGACAGCGGAGGCAGAGAGAGACAAACACATGAAGTCTGCCAAGAATGCCAAAGAGAGGCTGAACGAGATGGAGCAGGACCGGAAAGACCTGGCAGATGAATATGTCACTCTCAAGTCCAACTACCTGGCTCTCACCAACGAACATCAGCAGGAGGTTAGTACAAACATTACCCACCTATGTCTCTTGACTTACATGTTTTTATTGGGCACCTCCTTAACTAGGATTATGATGTGAAGATGCAGTAGCAGTCAATGTGGTTGAACACTGTCAGCGTGGTGTAGGAGGAAAGTCCAAAGTCCGTTCTGGTGAAACCTTCCAGCACAGATATAGTGCTGACAGGCCATGATCAGTGGGAATTCAGTCTCATGAACAGCAGATCCTGGGCCATGTAAGCCACACAATTTTGCACAGTGAATTGCAGCAGACGTTTGGGTCAACCATGCCAATGAGCTGAAATAATGGCATTTGATATAACAGGAGTTTGGTTTGTTTTGTTAATCACTGTTAATGTCAGTTTACACAAAGTACACTGTTTCCTAAACAGTCTTATTATCTGGTGTTTGGATACACGTCCCTGTGGTAACAGATCTGGTGTGTTGTAGGTGGCAAGGAACGAGACATTAGCTATGGAGCTGTTGAACCTGGTGAATGCAAAGGCAACCCTCATGAGACAACTGCTCATCCTGACTAACGGAGACCCCAAGATTGGCAACCCTGACGCTGAGATAGATAGGATTAAAGCCATCGTCACCAAATACTCATCTGGCAGAATCAAGGTGAAGTATTAAACACACATCCATTGTCAGATCATAACTCAGAACTATTGTCTCTAATTTCTCTAATGGTTCATTTCGCCTTTATTACTATTCAAGTGTTGTGTTTTGCCTAAGATAGTAACTTGAATACTCTTGATAAATACCTGAAATTTGAACTCAACATTTTGACCATGTGAACTTGTATTATCTAAATGTATGTGACAGTGTTGAGTGATTTTACCATGCAAGATGTGCATGGATATTCAACCACAGCCAGAAAACACAATGCACTGTGATACCTGACCACATGCCTGTACAGATATTCTACATGATGTATGTTTGTATGTTCCAGGCTGACCAGATCCTCAGCACCCAGAGAGACAGGGATGCTGTGGCTGAGTCTGTAAGTAGCATACTAAGCAGGGACGTGTATTTGTTGACAGATGCCCTGTATGAGGTGTGGAGGTGAAAAATACTCAAGTATTTGTAGTGCATCTGTCAATATATTTTATGGATGCTTCAAGGAATGTCAGGCTTAAGTATATACACAGATGTTCTGTTGAACTGGGTGTATTTAATCTATGAAGTGTCAGTAGTCTGTGGAAGTTATGGTTAATTAAACATCTGTCTGCTATGTAACCATGAAATTAAACGGATACATATACTCGAAGGTAAAAGTGATAATGTTCTTATTTAGCATATATCTAACCTGTAAGTACTCTAGGTAGACAAAGCTTCAAGGTCCTCCATATCCTGCCATTGTAAGAGATAACTAAATGTGTTGGATCATCATGTTTACTGATTTGGTTGATTGCATGTCATCAGAGCTCAACTGAGAAGATCGATGCTCATGATATCAGTCACGTATTTTCTGGTCCAGACCGGCATCATACAGCAGGAATGTTCCTCAATGTGTCCTTGAACTGCAAACAAACAAACAAACAAACTCAACAAGGATTTCAGAATATATTAACTGGTGGTAATTTATATAAATATTATTTTTCATTGAATGAACAGAGTTTAATACGTATGCTGCATGTGACATTGATGACAAGACAAAAGAAACTTTATTCTTGCGAGCTGATATGAATAATGCATACAAAGTGTACATGGTTGTAGATGCGGACATAAAAGCCACCCGCTCCATGACCCGAAGCCACAAGCCAATAATACTACTGGGAGGGTGGGACGGATTACATTATGTTAGAGCCGAGCCATGCAGTGTATTTGCTGGGTTACGTGCCGCCGCACCCTCTAGCAAAGGGAGATAATAACTGTGCGAACAGAACTTAACATTAACAGTGCAAGGGAGGGAACTCCTCTGATACTAAAATCAACGTTTGCAAAAGCTGAAATGCAATAGAGCCACACTCCTAATTTTTAAATGTTTTAATTAAAATAATACATTATACAAGTTGGACTGTACAGACTTTCTATGTATTTTAATCTTATGGAATATATAGAACTAAAACAGGCAGAAAATGAGTTTGTTTTGCCCTCCCTCAGCATTAGGAAAAGCTTCACACTGCCCTCATCTGTTCACAACCTTATCATAATACTGTTATTTAGTTTTAGTTACCGTGGCATGTTTGATCACAGTTGCCGTTCAGTGTCTACCTTTACATGACCATTGTGAGTAATGGACTCACTGTTTCTGTTGCAGCTGTTGTCAAGTCGGAAACGTCACCAGACCGACCTGGAAAGGATACGAAATGAGTTCGGGGATCAGTCAGCCACTTATGAAAAGAGGATGTGAGTATTGTAGTGAAGTGACCTGCTTCAAGAGAGAGGCTTGTCATGATAGGGCTTATGTCAAACTTTCACACACAGGTCTGAGGAAGCATCTTACCAGACATTAAAGTGAACATAGCAGCTTTGAGTATGTTTATACTTAAAGGCATGTTTATTCACAAATGTTTGACTGAAATCAAATTTGAAAAAGGGAAATAGTGTAAAACAGACAATAAACAGAGATAAGTACACAAGAATGAGTGTAATGCTGATATTACAGACAAGTGTTAGAATGCAGAAATTCTTACATAATGTGTCATTATGTCTTACCCAATATTTCTTCATCCTTATAGGCTCTCTTTAAGTACACTGATCACAAGTGCCATCTTAGGAAATTACACTGGGTGCTGATATTCAACTTGGACATTATTTCCAGTATTATGTCATTCGACCCTTACATCTCAGTATGATTTGAATGACATCAACACTGCCATCTGGTGACATAAACAATACAATGGTGCATCTGAAACCTTATTTGCACTTGTGTGTATAGAGTTTTTAAGAATTCAGTTATTTCTGACCCTGAATGTAATAAAAATGATATCCTAAAACTGTCACTGTGGGTTATGCATCTCTTAGAGACTTAGAGACAACTCTGTAGTAAACAGTGTATTTCACTGCTCTGGTCATTTGCTATAGCTTTTCAGACATTCTGTAAAATGTTAAAAATGTTTTAAGTGTGAGTGTTAGAAAGCCTGTTGTGTGGTGGTTGTTATGAAATAGAAACAGTGATGCTGGTCACAGGCCTCAAAACACATATATATATATACACATATAATCAACATTATCACTTTTTGTATCAAATGAATATATACAAAATTCACAAAATATATCACAATAATCACATGCAGTGCTGATGATTCTCATACAGAGTGGTGTAGAGTGTGAAATCACTATCAGTATTACACATGGTACATCACACGTTATTACACCATGAACGCTATTACACCATGAACAATATATCACAAATAACACATATTCACAAATAACACATATATACCTCTTTGATGTTGGCTCCTACTGTTCTATATGTGATTGGTGTAGAGTGTGAAATCACTATCAGTATTACACATGGTACATATCACACGTTATTACACCATGAACAATATTCACAAATAACACATATATACCTCTTTGATGTTGGCTCCTACTGTTCTATATGTGATTGGTGTAGAGTGTGAAATCACTATCAGTATTACACATGGTACATATCACACGTTATTACACCATGAACAATATTCACAAATAACACATATATACCTCTTTTGGTGTAGAGTGATGTTGGCTCCTACTGTTCTATATGTGATTGGTGTAGAGTGTGAAATCACTATCAGTATTACACATGGTACATATCACACGTTATTACACCATGAACAATATTCACAAATAACACATATATACCTCTTTGATGTTGGCTCCTACTGTTCTATATGTGATTGGTGTAGAGTGTGAAATCACTATCAGTATTACACATGGTACATATCACACGGATACATATCACACGTTATTACACCATGAACAATATTCACAAATAACACATATATACCTCTTTGATGTTGGCTCCTACTGTTCTATATGTGATTGGTGTAGAGTGTGAAATCACTATCAGTATTACACATGGTACATATCACACGTTATTACACCATGTACAATATTCATAAATAACACATATATACCTCTTTGATGTTGGCCCCTACTGTTCTATATGTGATTGGTGTAGAGTGTGAAATCACTATCAGTATTACACATGGTACATATCACACGTTATTACACCATGATCAATATTCATAAATAACACGTAAATTCCTCTTTGATGTTGGCCCCTACAGTTTAATATGTTATTGATCTATTTACTTCCTAATAAAATATTCCTCTACTCACCACATCAGACAATTTTGTGCAGACAGAAAGTTTTCCATGGTTATATTTATGGACCTACTCTACATTTTGAGTAAAGAGGGATGCTTCTCATCAGGAATTTTGTTTTTGACATTTTATTCCAGAGCAGTGAGGACAAATAGAGAACAACCAGCCTTACAGTCAACAGACATACTAGTATTCAAAGTTACAACCTCAACTCACAAGTTACTAATTGTAAACTGAATTGTTGGAAATTAATGCTTAGCACCTGTTTTTTAGTCTGGAATAAGTATTTCAGTATCCATAACAAAATGTACTACTTTTAGTCATTGAAGTTCCAGACAGAATCATATGAAATCAATGTGTGAAATAGCAGCAATTACCATCTCCACAGTCATGGGCAGCAATACACAAGGTCTGTAAATGATAGCAATGCTCTTTGATAAATAAGGCATGACTCCAGTACGAATAAACATTAGTAACTGGTGCTCCCCATTCCGTCTTGGTGATGGCAGTAATCAAATGCCAGGGCTTTGTTCCTGGTGCTAGGGAGAACTTAGTAATCACGCTGCAGCCTTCACTCTCTTCTGATCAAGGGTGAATCAATACCCTGTCAATCTCACAACAGGATCAACGTTTGGAACACTGGGTCAGTGAGTTGACTTGTGTAATAAACTCACTTGACTGGGACTACACTGATGACACTAAATGTCATCCGCCGGTTGTTGATATTTCAACCGTTTGCCGATCTAAGTCATGGATCAGTGGATTAAAGGATGAATCAAGGCTGTTTGCATGATTGATAGTGTTGAAGCCCAGACAGTCACAGGAATAATGACAGTAGCCATATGTCAGTCATAGTTTGTTGTTATGTAAAAAGATGGGGATTTTTTAAACATTCTATTTTGTTAGAGCCTTCAACCATGACACCACAAATCTTATGATTCTGAAACTTTGTGTGCATGATCCAAACAATGGAATCACAAAATAGGGATTAAATAAATCTCATTTCTATTTATATCAGTGACACAGTGTTATTAAGTGTGATCTTATTTCCTATCCTATTTGTCCCTAACTGGACGCAGACCATTTGCCAGGGACAGAATGCAATGATGTGGGCTGTGACTGTATTACAAGTTATTTCAAATATTCAAAAGCATTTGGGCGGGCTAAAGAGCCTTTTACTTGCATAAGCATGATTAAAAACATAAAAACCAAACCTGCTGACATCCAGGTGTTGTAGTGAACGCAGTACCAGTGCAGGGTGTCAAAGTACACTGTAAGTCTTAATCAAATTAATGTCTATTTGTCTTGAGTCATTGTGACAACGTTTATATATGAAACGTTTGTCTGTAATTAAAATAGACTAAGTGATAGAAGAGTAATGTGATTGGAGATTGTTGTTTGGCATGCTCAAACCATGTGGGATATTGGAAGTGTATCAGGTGAATCCTAGTCAACAGTTACCCTGAAGCCCTGACGACACTGTTAATAATGTAAAAGATAATATACCTCAATTTTTTTTTAGAAATTTGGATGGACATCTAGAAAATCTCGCAATACTGCTGAACTCTTTAGAGAATTTGATGAAGTTTTATGTTCAAACTAATGTTCAATCACATGTAGGCTAAAGATTTGGTAACACATTACCAAAGCTATATATAATATGCATTACATACTTGAACACAGATGATTTAAAACGTAAGCTCAGATTGTATTTTTTTGGACATTTTAGACATATCTGATTGGAGACACTTGAAAAGCATGTGTGGGACCATCCAGGGGGTATTGTCAATACAAACCTACATCATCTGATCACATGAATACCCGATCCAGCTTCCGTTGCCGAGTCAAGTTAAATTAATGACCACATATGTCATCATATATAACGTGTCTATTTCACTTTGAGTCTATCACTGATCAGTTGAGCACGCAAAGCCACCAATCATGCTCAATGTCAATGTTGACCAGCTGGTTGTCTTGGCAATCACAACTTGTCCCATTAAACATAATGGCTTTAGGGCTGTTTGAAACCCGAGTCACAGTGACAGATAGCAATTGATCTCTGTGGCAGTCAGCAATGCAGCACTAATAGACAGCTCAGTACTGTGTGCAGTGTTTACTGGTGGGCCCTGTTATCCCACCTGTCTCATTGCCAACTCTTCTCCATGTTAGCTTTCCTGTTGAGAACAATGAATGGTAATGACTTAAATGTTTTGCCCAATACTCGGGATCATGTGCTCATTGTCCCCAGTCCATGTCTACATGTTCCAGTACACTGGGTAGTCAGGCAATCAGTGTTGTTGACACTTCTCATAAAAACAGCATTATTGGTCTAATTTACATTGTAGTAATGTTTTTTAGCAATTTTTCAATGATTGTTGACTAAATGTGGTTTTCCCATACATTCATGGTACCTCAATGATAACACCAATCTATGGCATACAGTGAATTAAATCTTCTTCCATAGTGAAATAGAAGAAATATTGTGGAAATAACTTACCGGTACTTATTTACTGATATGAACATTACTAGTTTGCCTGAGGATATTTGTGATGTTTTGCCTGATTTATTGAATATATGTGCAATTTGTTATGTGTGATACCTGCATTTCCTAGCCTGCTGTAGAACAAGGTGCATGTGTTAAAGGCCTTTCATGTCTAGCATGCTTAGTTGGCTCATTCAGCATTCTCACAAGCATAGACTTGTAGAATATCTTGTAGTTGTAAAATAAGTACAATTGTCAAAACCACATTTTCTTAACTATTTAAGTTCTATGAAATGAAATCTCGCCCAGTGAGATGTGGAGAATTCTGATGCCACATGTTTGGGAAGCAAGAAAGTTGGTGAAGAGTATTGGTAGCACTGAGGGCTTACATACTGGGTCAACCAGCATACATTCAGGGTATAGCATCTGTCTTCATGGACACAAATCCAAACACAGTTCAAAAGCAGTGACCAGTCCACATGTACATAAAACATTGGGTATCAACA